AATACACGGCATTCACCCCGACGTCCAATTTGTAGTGAAAACTTAACTTTCACGAAATTCAAAAGTTCCATGCGAAGAGCATGGAAATCGGTAGTGGTTATCACAATAGGGGGAATCTTTTCCTTCTTGGCATTAAGCCGGGAAAGTTTACTAGAATTTTTCTTGGATGATGGATCATTCTCATCATCCGTGAGCAAATCAAATTGATTACTCAAATTAATTTCTTCAGAAGGGGAGTCAAGAGTTTGCCCCTTTCTTTTGCGTTTAGGCGCCATGGCGGCAGTAATTTTTTTTATCCAAATCGACTTCCAAGCAGATTACTATAAGAATCTGAAGGATCGAAGAGGAATTTTCCAAATCGATATCCAAGAAGGATTACCTCGAGTAGGGTCCAAACAAGGATCGAAGAGGAATAAGAGGAGTTGAACAAGGTAGAAAATTTTTACAGGTTGAGCACTGAAAAGTGCGATTATGCGATTATCCAAATCGACTTCCAAGCAGATTACTATAAGAATCTGAAGGATCGAAGAGGAATTTTCCAAATCGATATCCAAGAAGGATTACCTCGGGTAGGGTCCAAACAAGGATCGAAGAGGAATAAGAGGAGTTGAACAAGGTAGAAATTTTTTACAGGTTGAGCACTGAAAAGTGCTGTTTAAATTTGTTGTAGCTTTAGGTAGTAGTAACACTTCCTTAAGCAAAAAGCAAATAGATCCGAACGGCAAGAGAGCACGATGCGGACTGTTGTGTTCTACGTCTAATTAATTGTAATGATCGATCACATGACTCACGAAAATGAATGCATTGATCTAGTTTAAAATATAACCGAGCATCCTTTCTTTCGACTTGGAGAGGTGAAGAGGTAACATTGGTCTCATTTGAAACAACGATGAATGAATTAATCAGTCCCACAGAGCCTTGAAGGAGCTAGAGTTGCGATCGGGCGTGCTGATAGGTATTTACTTTCAAGCAAGCTTTTATTGATTATTGAGTTGCCCATATGATGCATTCTAGGATAGCTCCGATGACATGGCAAGCGGCAGCTGACCGGAAGGTAAGTACATGGTTCGAATCCCATGCAACGAGACATGTATAAGTATTTAATAAATTTTCTAATATCTGTGTGGTGCGAGCCACGTCAGAAATAATGAAAACAACAATCACTTAAGGGGAAACCACACTCTTCCCTGTCTGTCCTGTCCCCGCGGCCACTTTTATTTTCGGGTTAATTTTCCCACCGTTAAATAATCGTTTAATAATGTCTAATAAAGCGTTACTTCACATGAGAAGGAAGCAGTGATGTCTAATAAACGCTGAATAATCAAAAAAAAATTATCGTATAAACTCTGTTAATGGGTGTTCAATAAAAAATGAGAATGATTTCAATACCGTCCAGCGCTCTTGTGAGAGCATCGCGACTAAGTTGCGTCGTACGGCTGACCAGGGCCCTTTCTCCAATATTCATCGACGTTTTTTTGAAGAATAAACATTATGTTTTTAATAAAAAATACTGAATTCGTTGAATTTTTTTTTTCTAGCTGTATGACTGAAAAAATACTCTTTTTTTTATTGAACACCCGTTACAACTCATATAAGTCGAATAAAAGCTTCTCGACATACCTTATACAACACCAAGTAGTTTAATGTTGTGGTTGAATAAATTCTCTAGATTTGTGTGAACAAAGCCTGAACAGAAGTTATTATTAAAAATAGTACAAGTACTATTAAGGATGCAGTTGAATAAAATGGTCAAGAAGTCTTTTCTTCAATAGTCGATTGTTTGTTGGGAATCACATTTCTTCTATCAGATAGTCGCATTGATACATAGGCGACATTCATACTACTTTGAATTGCTTACTCATATGATTAAATATATGTAACTTACACAACATATAATTTCTTCTTCCTCTTCTTCTTCTTCCTTAAATAATTTTAAATGTGGATTAACATTAACTCATACGACATCGAAGGGAAGAACGTCTTATTGAAATATGTTTTGAAATTCAAACCCATTTCTTGCTACACAATGTTTCATGTTTTCATGAAGTTATGACACGCGGAATTTTATCAGTGTTTTAAAATGCTTCCAGAAATGATCTCATGCACAGATGCACCGTTGAGCAACTATATTGAATATTAAAATTGTTCTGCAAATATTTTTAAAGAGTCATAATGAAAAACGATGATATTTTAAACCTTTTTGGGGGGCAATTCAAAGCAGTGGCAATGTCGCCCATATATCAAGGCAAATATCTGATAGAAGAAATTTGATTGTGTTCTATCCTTAAAATTTGCTGTAACTTTTAACGATGTTGACAGATGTAGCTATTTTTGGCAGTGTTTTGCAATGTTTTTGTTGTGCTTTACAACAGAAGTTATCCGAGTTGCCACTATTAATATTAAAAAATGTGCCAATTCGGATGAAAAATGTTCAATATCTCCGAAGACACAAAGAATAACGGGTGATTTTTTTTCTACAAAATGTGTATTTTTGCAAGATAAGCAACTCATTAGAATATGAAAAACACCTAAAAACTACATGGAAACAGTTATACATAGCTAAAAACGTATTTTAAGGAATCGTCTATAAAAACGCTCCATTGCTTTATTGTGTGAATAGAGGATTGGTGTCTTCTTGGTTGCCGAAAACACCGAAAACAGAGCTCTGTCTAGCAAGTACCTTTAAAAGATAGGGCTTTGCAAGCCAAGAAACTTCTCCAAAGACACTTTCTACCTTAAATTAACAGAACACAGAATTTATAAATTCAAGACGAACAATTGAAAAGGCCTCAACTCAATTTTGTTAACAAACCTTGTAAGGCCATTTTCTCGCAAACCTAAATCACAATCGGGTAGAGGAGAACTTCTCCTACCTGTTCATTTTGTTAGTTTGCATTGGCGGAGTTCGATTCGCCACAAAATGGCCTTACAAGGTTTGTTCAAAATGAAGTTGAGGCCTTTTCAATTGTTGGTCATGAATTTGCCTTTACGGTTACAGGAATCCCTTAAATAGCATGGTGGGTTGTGCATTCCACTCACCGCTATTTATCGGCTGTCCTCTAACCAATTGAGTTGATTTATTATTAGAGAATAGTGTCGTAGTCGTAAACGTTTTTGCTTACTGAGAAGAAGACCGTGGGTTCAATCCAATGCTCCTTCGCGTTATATTATCCTTTGGGCATCAATTCAGCTTATCGTTTACCAAAACTAACCCTTCTGCAAACCCAACACTCTTACCCAACATTCCAGTGATTCCTCGTGGAAGTGCAGAGGATTCCTCGGCTTCCATCAAAGAGAGTGTCACATCAACACATTCCTAGCCATTCCTTTCTTGACTTGCATTCGGGCGCGGCCGGCGCTGGTATTGCCTAGTTTGAGATCACCAGTGTTTACACATTGAGGATGAATTCTTGTCCCAAGCATCGTCTATTGGTTCTTTGTGTATTTACAGCAGATCTGGCAATAACAGAGTACCCAACTAACAATTTTAGCTGCAGATTAGCTTATACAGACAAAATTTGCCTTATTTATGCAGCTAATTTTTGCCTGTATAAGCTGGTCTGCAACTAAAATTGTCTGTTGGGTAGCAACCGTGGGTGGTCAATCATGTTCATGCTCTTATATAAATAGTTGAAGAGCTTTTTGTTTTTCATTCTATTTTTTTCCTTTAATAAACGAGTCTTTCAGGCTGGCATCTCTAAACCTTCAGAGGGGAGGCTCTCAAAAAGGTAGGGAGGGAAGTTCCAGATGGGAACTTCTCAAATCATATTTTTACAGAGGATTTTTAAACAGAGTTTTTTGTTTTGTTCCTGTCTCGTTTCAGTTAAGGGGTTTCTGCTTCCGGTTGGTCCGTTTACGTTGCGTTAGGTCTGGTGTATATTGGGTTTGTGTTAAAATATTTTTTTTATATATGGAAAGAAAAATTTGTTCACAACCTATTTTCGGTACAGTCCTTAAGAACTACTCGTGCAATAATAGTTCGGCTTGCCAAGTTGGATTGCAAGAGTGCTGAAAAAATCGAGTTTCGTAACGAGTTTAAACCACATTTTTTTGTAATTTTGAAAAATATCCCTTGTGTTTTAATTATTTCCATCTGTATTGAACGTAGTTTCAAGAACAACTGCATATGAACGTTCATACGTATGATCAAAACTTTCTGATCAAGTAGGTTATGAAATATGACTGTCAGCATTTTCCAACGTAAGAAATAATTATTTATGCAACAAGTAGCAAAACGAAGATTTTTTCAACACGAGCCGTTGTTTATCCAACGAGACTTGCCTAGTTGGATAACTACGACAAGTGTTGAAAAAATAAAATTTTACATCGAGTTGCATAGAAAATTTTGTGAAAAGTTGACCGTTATGTTACTCCACCGCGTGATAAAAAATACTATTATGATGCATAACTGCTACATGTTTCTTCAGTTCATTAACACCGATGTAAACATCAATGCAGCCCAATATTCGTGATCGGGATGCAATCTGACGATAATACTGGTACCCATCGCAAAAATCTTTTTATTCTGGAAATATTTTGAATAAAAATGGGATAGTTTTTTGACGTTGGGGTTTTGAGAGTCTAGATATTAAATAATTTTGCTGTATAAAATATACTTTTCATTGGTTTTAACAGTGGGTTGGCCAGAGATGAACCAGCCGATAGCTGAAAATCTCTTTACTAAAGAGAGAAGAAGAAGATGCCAGGTAGTTTCTCCCAAAATAAAAATATCATACGGTATTGAATGATTATTTTTCACCTTTAATTTTGATATTGTATATGATCGTTTTGTATTTGCATTTGAAAACGTTGCCTTATTTTGAATTAAATAATAGGAATATTTACATAGAGCATTGTGGTGGTTGGTTTATTTATTTACATAAATCAATGAGCTGACGATGTGCTATTGTTATTTGCTTAGTATACTTGTAGTGTTATGAGGCTAGTCGTTTCTATTGAACTTTTGCACTCATTAACCTACACTAAATATGGGTAATTTATCACTTGAAAAACTGAGCTACTAGCACAGTGCGGTACTTGAAATCTAATACTGTCCAACCCGCAGCTTGGCAGGTCTTTTCTTCAGTTGGACTCGAGCAGTTCTTCTCAGCTCAGCGGCTGCTGGGCTTCCATAGGCGGTTGCAGTGCTAACGGCCGATCCTCCCTTACCGGTACTGAACGAGTTGGAAATAGCAATGGCTGCACCACTAGTGCTTCCGAAGTTGATAGGGAAATACACACTTGGAGTAGCACCGCGACGACTGACCTGAGGAGTGTCCTGGTCCTCTTCCTCGTCAGAGTCCAGTTGAACGGTTACCTTCTTCTTCTTGTCTGGGATCACGGCTGGGACAGCTGGAGCAGCAGCAACTGGGTCATAAGCGATGGGTTCTTCTGCTTCTACCTCATGAACAGTAGGGACATCATACTGAGGCACGTGTTCAAATGGGAACTGTTCGTCCTGAGGCACGTCTTCCAGTGGGAACTGTTCTTCTGGGTATGCTTCGGCCACAGACTGCACGTTAGAGTCCTGAGCAGCACTTTCATCATCTGTGTTTTGGCAATCTAATGATTAATATATTATACTTTCAGTCGGCACACTACGAACAAAGCATATCAGGCAACTTACCTTTCAGATACGTTCCGGTAGCAATGTTGTTTCCAGCAGCGAAGGCAGACACTCCAGCCGAACGACCTTGATTCCTGAGTTGCTGGTTCTGATAGTGAATTCCATACATGGATTGCCGAGGATACATATAGCCCATTGGTTGCTGGTAGTACATGAAAGCTGCCAAATAAGAAATATTTCAAATGATTATCAGTTCCTCGGTTTTTAAAATTCAATTAATTATTAAGTTCAAACATGAACACGCACCATTTTGCATAGGGATTGAATAGCCCGCACTGATTCCACACAGCAGGACAAGAACAGCCACGGCCTTAATCATTTTTGCAAATTCACTTTTTTTTCTCTTCGATAGATGCTCAATTGTAGGATGAACCGTTAATTTTAATATCCTTAAATTCGTGTTCACCTGCAACTTGATTTCTGAGACAGGAGCTAAACTTATGTAACGTTCGAATAAGTTTCCACCGATTACTGATAATTCTGACACCGAGAACAGGCGCTTTTATACCGAACATAGCGAGTAGATTAGTTAGTATGCATGCAGTGTAAAGTGGCTCACAAGTTTGTGCACAAGAATGGTACCTATCACAATATTGGATACAGTTCGATAAAATTTGAGCTATAATTTATGTTCACATCAAACGTGCGGACATCACTACGGTTTTTGTTTATTTTAGTTTTATCTACTCCAATAGCTAAATGATGCCCAGCATCACATGCCGTGGTTGGTTGAGGGTGCTCAACAAAGCACTTACATACACTTACTGGCCTACAGAAAGTGTTGTAACATTGTTGTCACATTCTGTGCAACATGTTCAAGTCAATTAACCCGAACTAATTATGATGTAGGGGTTCCTGGGGTAAAATGCACCAGACAAGGTGTTTTCCCGTTAAAATTAATAGCAACAGTTGATAATCGCAACATATATAATAACTGGGGGTAAAATGTACCCATGCTGAGGTAAAATGCTCTATAACTAAGAGGCAAGACGTACCATAATAATGAGGCAAAATGCGTTACTATAATGGGGCAATATGACTCTCCTTGCCGTCTTACAAATTGAACCAATTGAGGCAGAAGAAAGAATTGAACGTAAAGAAGCTTGTTTACTAAAGGATCATTTTGCCCCGAATGTATAAAGAAAATGTTTTTGATAATTAAATAGACTTATATGTTAAAACTAATCGGTATTTTACCTCAAAAATGTAGCTCTATCCTCAGTCAAATAGTTAATATCTTTCACCGATGCTTAATAATGTTTGAATCGCTTAAAAATCTTAACATTACACTATATCCAATGCAAACTGGTTTTTATTTTTATTTACATTATCTGATAACATAGAGCTGCCAAATTGACACGGTGTCCAAAGCATACATAGATTTAACTTGTAGGGCAACTAATTTGTTGTAAAAATGTATTTTAGGCTTGAAACGAAGGAAGTGCATCTTGTCCCAATGCCACTATGGGCAAAAATGGGTCCAAAATTACCCAAAATTCAATATCTCAACAGCACGCTGAATTCCTTCCATGAAAAACGACTTTTCTGAAGGGAAATCGTTCGGGGAATCGATTGCACGTGGTCCCATAGACCGGAGAGCCTTGTAGGTATGTGTTTTGGACAATTTAACCCCATTTTCCCCTATTTTTGGAGGAAATGTTTTTTCACAGCTCTATTTTTCGTAAAACATAAGCACTTTATGCATGGTTTTAGAATACTATGTCTTTAAACAACAGTTCATGAGATATAAGGGGAATACGGGGTACACTTTATAGGGGAGTAAGGGGTAAAAGTGAACCCTTGCTAAATTTATTTTAATTCATAAAAATGTTGAACGATGCGATTGTTTGAATGAACCCAAAGGTTGCATGCAATAATAAGATTTTTTTTTGAAATTTTAAGGTTAATTGGGGTTAAATAAGTTTTATTTTACTGCTATCTGTTTTAAAAGAGTTTTCACTTTTTTTTGTCTGTATACAGCAAAACGATATAGTGGTTCTCAGAATTTTGTAAAAATTGGTAGTTTTGTTCCTAGTCGCAACATATTAGACCCTTATTTTTTATTTTGTCATTAGGGTGACTATTTATATATTAGGGCGGTCAAAAATTTTTTTTTAAATTTTTTTCAAAAATTTATAACTTTTGAACTGTTTGGCCGATGACGGAACTCAAAATACCAAATGAAAGTTAATTAAAAGTTTTTTTAAGAAAAAAATATTAGGATATTAAAAAAAGGATTTTGTATTATTTTTTTTTTTTTTTTTATATTAATTTATTTGTACAGGCTCAATCGAATAAACTTTACAGAGCCGAGTTATCATTTGCATTATGCATGATTCATGTCTTAAATCTAGAGTTAAAGGAATTGAACCGATTACTCGCGGTCGTCTCGAGGTTAGTGGAGATTTACAATTTTTTGGATGGGGAAATGGAGAAGGAGGTTTGAAATATGATTTATTATACAAATATTTAATTAATCCTAAAACATGAACTTATTTCTATTCATCTTGAAGACAAACATTAAAAAAAAAACTACACGCACAATACACAAACTAAACACAAGGTTAATCAAACTTACAATCTAAGGTTAGTATTCTTAAAGTAAACATATATGAGTTTCATAAACTCCAGATCACGTCTAGCCAAAATATCCCGAACTGGAACATTAGGTTGTCTACCTCGAGCCCGAAGGGAATCGCATAGCTCAGATCTGACTCCACGATGCTCAGCACAAGACCAAAGGATGTGATCGGCGTCTTGGTAACCTTGTCCACATTCACAGAGATTGCTGTCTCCCAGCCCAACACGAAACAAGTGAGCGTTTAACGAATAGTGATTGGACATGAGGCGAGACATCAGACGAATGAAGTCTCGACCCACATCCAACCCCTTGAACCAAGGACTCTTCGACACCTTAGGGATGATCGAGAATAGCCATCGTCCCAAACTCCCTTCACTCCATTTATTTTGCCAGCTGGCGAGCGACTGTTGACGATAAATGAAGAAAAATTCATTGTAGGCGATTTGTCGATCGTAAATATCGCCTTGCATAGCGCCCACCTTAGCAAGTGAGTCCGCCTTCTCATTGCCCGGAATCGAGCAATGAGATGGGACCCATGCAAAGGTGATGACAAAAGATCTTAAAGATAAAGCACTCAGAAGCTCTCGTATTTTCATGAGAAAATACGAGGAGTGCTTTACCGGCCTCATGGATCGAATAGCCTCGACAGAACTGAGACTATCCGTAAAAATAAAATAATGATCTGGTGCAAGTGAGGCGATCGTTTCTAGCGTATAATGTATTGCCGCCAGCTCAGCAACATATACGGAACAAGGAGCTTGAAGCATTCGAGAGGCGCTATGAAATTCGTTATAAATACCAAAACCAGCGGACGCCTCTATGAATGATCCATCTGTGAAGAACGATCTTGCGGAATCAACTTGGCCAAACTTTGCAGCGTAAATTGACGGAACAATCATGGAACGATGATGTTCTGGGATTCCACGAATCTCCCGCGTCATAGATAAATCAAAACTAACTGAATTGCCGAAGTCGGAGAAGCATACACGATGAGGATTATGCTGTGAAGGGCTGACATCCTGAGCTATGTACACGTAGTACAATGACATAAAACGAGTTTGAGGGTTTAGCTCAAGAAGCTTCTCAAAGTTTTCGATTACCAGTGGGTTCATAACTTCACAACGGGTGAGGAGCCTGAGGGACAATTCCGAAAACCGATCCGATAGTGGCAACATGCCCGCCAACACTTCGAGACTCATCGTATGAGTCGAGTGCATGCATCCTAACGCGATACGAAGACAACGATACTGGATACGTTCCAGTTTGATGATGTGAGTTTTAGCCGCCGACTGGAAGCAAAAACTACCGTACTCTAAAACCGATAAAATCGTTGTCCGGTACAACGTTAGAAGATCTTGCGGATGAGCTCCCCACCACGTTCCGGTAATTGTTCGGAGAAAATTGATCCTTTGTTGGCATTTTCGTCTCAGATACTCAATGTGGGATCTCCAGGTGCATTTGGAATCGAACCAGACCCCAAGATATTTGAAAGACATGGAATGAGTGATCGGTTTACCCAAAAGTTGAAGCTTTGGTTGTGCTGGGCTATGCTTCCTAGAAAAAACGACCAACTCAGTTTTCTCCGTGGAGAATTCGATACCTAGCTGGATAGCCCAAGTAGACAAATTGTCTAAGGTATCCTGTAAGGGTCCTTGCAGGTTGACCCCTTTGGGCCCTGTCATAGACACTACGCCATCATCTGCAAGTTGTCTCAACGTGCAGTTGTCACTTAGACAATTGTCAATTTCTCTGACATAGAAATTGTACAAAAGGGGGCTTAAACATGAGCCCTGGGGGAGACCCATGTAACTAAATCGAGAAGCTGTAGAGTTTCCATGAGAAAAGCTCATATGTTTCTCTGACAGCAAATTGTACAAAAAGTTATTAATTAATGGGGAAAGGCCACAAGCGTGGAGTTTGTCTGAAAGGACTTCAAAAGATACTGAATCAAAAGCCCCCTTAATATCCAAGAACACAGAAGCCATTTGCTCTTTTTTAGCAAAAGCCAACTGGATTTCTGTGGAAAGCAACGCGAGACAGTCGTTCGTTCCCTTACCCCTACGGAAACCAAATTGAGTATCTGAGAGTAGGTGGTTCGTCTCAACCCATTTGTCGAGGCGAAAAAGGATCATTTTCTCCAACAATTTTCGAATGCCCGATAACATCGCGATGGGACGATACGAGTTATGATCTGACGCGGGTTTTCCAGGCTTTTTAATGGCTATAACTCTCACTCGCCTCCAATCATCTGGAACAATATTGAACTCCAGGAACTGACAAAACAAGTTCAACATGCGCCTCTTAGCGACGTCTGGGAGGTTCTTCAACAAGTCGAACTTGATCCTATCAGCCCCCGGAGCCGAATTGCGACACGAAAGGAGCGCGAGTGAGAGCTCTAGCATTGAAAAAGGCTGGCTGATCTCGTCTACCGAATTCGTCGTTTCGCGAGGAATCATCTGTGCCGGCACGGAATCAGGACATACTTTTCGCGCGAACTTGAGAATCCACCAATCCGAGTACTCCTCGCTCTCGTTGTTTGAAGACCGGTTACGCATCCTTCGCGCCGTGTTCCAAAGCGTATTCATCGACGTTTCGCGCGATAAACCGTCCACGAATTGCCGCCAGTATCCGCGTTTCTTGGCTTTGATGAGGCTCTTGAGTTCGTGTTCAAGAGTCGAGTACGCTTCGAAATACTCGGGTGTTCCGCGTTTCCGGAAAAGCTTAAACGCGTCGGACTTTTTACGATAAACCTCAG